CGAACCACGTGGAATTCGCTATCACAAGCAAAATGTAACGCTAGTCTCTCGTAGATGTAGCTAATCTCTGTCGTTCTTTAGCGAAAAATGGTACTTCGGCTTCTTCCTAACTTCTTATGTACAGCCTTACAATTTTGTTTCATAGTTATCACAAACCAGATGCAATTTGCTATCTCAAGCAAAAATATACCGCTAGTCGCACATAGATGTACCCAATTTTTATCTGTTATAAATGGAAAATCTTATATTGATACATTGCTATCACAAGCCAGATATAATTTGCTATTCCAAGCAAAATGTACCGCTCTTGTCTCACATAGACGTACCCAATTGTTATCTGTTATAAATGAAAAATGATATATTGCTACATTGCTATTACAAACTAGATCGGATTTGCTATCTCAAACAAAATGTGACGCTAGTCTCGCATATATGAACCTAACCTCTATTTGTTATTAATCAAAAATAGTACTCTGGCAGTTTCCTAAACTGTCTTGCGCAGGCTTATTATGCTCTTCCAGGGTTATCACAAACCAGATGGAATTTGCCATCACAAGCAAAATGTAACGCTGATCTCACCTAACATATCTAATCTCGATCTGGTAAAAGGGAAAAATATATCTTAACAACTTCCTAGCCTGCCATGTTCAAACTTACGGTCCTGTTCCTTGGTTATCACAAGCCACATGAAATTTGCTATCACAGGCAAATGAGAAAATATTGTTAACCATACCTTGTTGCTACGTTGTCCCAAATGCTTTCAGTGTTGTTATTTGTGCAACGAAGTTCAGTATTGAGTCATTTTTCTAAACATCTTCATTTGTCCTTGGTGTGGACCATCACAAGCTAGGTCCACGTTGCTATCCCAAGCAAACGAGTCCAATGTTACAACGTTATCCCAAATGTCTTCGTTCATCCTTGGTGTGGAGCTGACTATCCCGAGTCAGGTCCACGTTGCTATCCCAAGCAACCGAGTCCAATGCTTCAGCGTTATCCCAAACGACATGCTAGGCACAATTTGCAGCGCCGGTGAGGCATCCATACTAATATTAATTTAACTTGCACCTAAAACAGATCGGTTAGCTGACAGATACCTGATGGAGACACCCCTTCAGAAAAAGAGGCCTACACGTCACTTTCTAATTTTGGTCGGCAACGGAAGCAACCTTCAGGCGACCGTCGGTCGGTATCTCGTTCGACAATGCACATCTACCTTCTGTCCTGTTATCTAATACTAAATCTTCAGGGGATCCTGGACACTGCACTGCACGTAGCACATAAACGAGACGCGCCGATTAACGTCCTGACGGTCTGGTACGAGAACAAGGAATGAAGGTTTATAGGCGGCCAGAGGGGAGAAATATAGGGGAAGGGGCGCGGTGTCGCTTTCCTTCTCTGCGTGCGCGCTTTGAAATCGTGGCAGTTGGATACTACTATGAGGGTACTACGATATTAATTTTAAATATCTACTTCGACAAGGATGGAACATAATAGCGTACCTAATTTACGAGTAGCTCAAATTTTGTTTTACTTTACTGTCTAGGCTTAAACTCAATCTATTACAAAAGTTGAATACATGTAAGTGTTGATTTAGTATTTACGTTTTCTCTCAATACATCTATCAATCATTTGTTTTCTTTGATAATTATTTGTTAATTTTTACTTACCCCCGTAAATAAACTTATTTTGGAGATTTCCGACGACCCCCTTATACCTCAATGTGATTCCCCAGGGGGCCGCACCCACAATCTGGGAAACAGTGATCTAACGAATCGATACTGAAAGTTCCAAAAATAGTAACATATTTTTCTGTGCTATCTCATAAGAATATGGGTTACTAGTTTTTCCCAGTCTCATTACATGTTAGTCACTTCTTTGCGCGATGTTCAAGGATTGCAGCTTTAAACAACGAGACCCTGATCTTTACAGCTTTTTTCTAATGTTATTATGGTGAGTTAAAAAATAAAACTAGATCACGTGTTAATTATTCCACATTGTACTACCTCAACAACAACTGCGTTATAAAAACGCACATCAGTTGGCGACTCGGTTTTTTTTCATACCCAGGGGCTGCTACTGGGGCATTTAAGACACATGTCTTTATCACTTAAGAGAGGCGTTAGACGCGGTTGTAAACTACATGATTAGCACTAAACTAAAACGGATGTTGGCAATCAAAACAAAGGATCAGAGCAGAAGCTAACACAACTATTGATATTTTGACAACTAAACTAAATTATTACATTATCGTATGTGATTTTTCCCTCTCCGTCTTCGTTTCCTCAGGTTTCACCCGAATCCGGATGTATGGGCATGTGTATCTACTTTTTTAGTTACATATGTGCATTCATTTCGGGCGCTGATGAAGCCAACCAGCCGAAATACGTATCGCTCGGGTTACCTATCCTTTTTCTGCTCGAATCCACTTTCATTCTTTTTGCGGATTTTGCCCATTAATTTGTTATTTTTTGTTATATACCCTTCTCCGCATGATCGTTTTCTCTCTCTATATATATATGTACATATATTCTGTAAAGTATTCGTGGACAGTTTCAGAGCGAGGTACTATCACATATCCGCTTTCCTTTCAAAAAGGTGTTCTAGGTTGGCGCCTAGCCGCTTTCGTACAATTTCATCGCCCTGAATTTCAGTTTGCTAACTTGACCAGTTCAAGAAAATAAACAAGCGAGACCTGATCTAACATTGCTGCTGAACATATTCTCAACCTTAGATGGCTGAATATCTGAATAACAAGTAGCAAAATGTTGCAGTTCCTATCTCATATATAATGCTCTAACTGTATAATGCTTTTGGTAACACTCTGTATATGTCTGAACGCCCCTCTGAATTTTCGAAACATATTCATATCACTATTTGAATAACTGAATATTTGATTTTCACTGTCATGGAAATACTGCGTTTATCTTTAAAGGCATATTGCTGAGAAACGTGAATTCCTACGTACATTCTAACGTATAATTAAAAAAACGAAAAAATCGTTGGTCAGTTTTATGTTTTCAATTACTATTTATGAGGAATAAATATATATGCCTTCTTATCGTTCAGACATTCCAAGCATCTAGATACGCATAACATAAATACTTCTGATGTCAGACGTTGACATGTATACTTTCCATACTGTATACAGAAACTACTTCACATGAAGTAACAGTCCCAAAATTTTTAGAATGAATCCATATCGCTGCATGTGATATACACAGTTAGCCTGTCGAATGTCATTATTTAGGAAATTGAATAGGTTTTGATAATCATTACGATCCGTTCCCTAGTGCAACATAGTATCCTGTAGTTACAGCAGTTGATAAAACAGCAGGAGAAGCTGACCATATAAAAATTAAAAGTTTCTACGTACCTTCATACTTCCTTCTATCTCTTTGATATCTCTGCTACCATTGCACCGAAGCTGAACAAGCAGGGAGTAGTAGAATATCGTCGGCATTAGTATGTAGTTAAACTCGGCTTAACGCCAAGGGTAAAATTCTTTAGCGTAATTTCATCGGACTATAACCGTTAATCCGCCCAGCGACGTCGACTGCCTCCATTCAACCCATTTGGCGAACAAGCTTATGAAGTTAGTTTCACCGGACTATACTGATCATCTGCCCGGCGATGTGGACTGCACACTTTCGGGCAATTTAACGAGTGGACCTATGTACTTGATTTCATCGGACTATATCCGTTAATCCACCGACGACTGCTTTGAATCGAGCTGTTTGGGAAATAAACCTTTAAGGTAAATTTCACCAGACTATTTTTGCGGCAATGTTATGTTTTGACCGCCCATCGACTGAAGTTGGCATCGTGACCCTCTGTCGGATTACCGGTCGAATACGAGCGTCGTCTTTGAAATAACAAACATAGCCTGGTGAAATTACATCCGCAACTTTATACAGCAAACGGGAATAGTCGACATTGCCGAGCAGCTTAATGGAAATAGTCCAGTGAAATTAACCTAGCAAGCTTATTAAACAAACTGCTTGAACAAGAATAGTTGAAGCATTGATTAACGCATTATGATAAAGATAACCAACCTAATGCTATATTCCCGCCGCCAAAAAGTTATCCGAGATAAAATAAGACACCACAGCGTCATCTACGAAAATTTACGACAGTTCTTTCTCTATTAACCATAAATACTTTGGAAATGTTAGTGTCTCATAAATGACGCTCTAGCCACATGTATGCTTATATATACAACGTCATCCAGGAGGCACTAACCTTTTCAAAGTATATACCATGTAGTGAATAAACAGCTGTGGGAAATTCTCATGCATGATTTCCTATTTATCTCCTATATTTTTTTGAACGCGGCAACATAGCATTAGGTTGGTCATCTTCAGGCAGAATACGTTAATCCATGTTCGAAACCTCCGGACGGATTGACAAAAATGGTTCGGTGAAGTTCATTCGCGAAATGGCTAGAAAGGTTCAGTCAGCGTCGTCAAGTGGACTAACGAAAGTAGTCCAGTGAAATTAACCACGCAAGGCTGTTGACGAGAAGGTCGATCGGGAGCAGTCGACACCTCGTTGGCTTACAGATGGTAAAACTAACTTCAGAAGCTAATTCGGCAGATGGCTTGAATAGGAGCAATCGACGTTGCTGGGCGTATGAACTGATGTAGTCTAGTCAAATTAACTTCGCAAATCAGTACCTTCATCCATATCAGTTACATAATTTATTTTCCATTTTGAAATGTATACAGGTGAGGGGGCATCTTAAGACCCATATTTATATGAACCTTTTCTGTTACTTTTGGAGTCACTTGGTTTAGACATGTTGCCATTAATCCTTAATTAATATGTAGAGTTGGTGCGGACGTTAGAAATTCCACAGCAAACTATCTTGAAACTTTGCAGTTGAGTCAGAGCATATAGCATTTGCTCATCAACGCACTAACTAGACCTCGAAATCTGTTCGTTGCTATTGCAAAATTGCCCTGGAATAGGCATGTGAAACTTACACAAAAATAAGCAGCACATTTCAAAAACTCAATATTTATTTGTATTGCACATCAGCTCGTACATGATAACCCTGTGTAAAAGCAAGTCAACATAAGTAAACTACAGGTCCTTCAAGAGGTACTTTTCTGCGAATGCCAGCACTGGAGAGCCAGTAGCAGGTTTAGGAAGACCACCAGCACTAGCTGCTATATCTAGATGGCTGTACTTTATGGGAGACTCGCTACCAGAACCGTGTGCATCCAGTCCAGATGCTACAATCAGGAAAGCGGCTGGACCTAGAATGTTAATGAAAGAGATAATTGACAAAGTAGAATTAAAATATGTCTGTAAATTAAGTGATGAGTCTGATCTTTTTATTTTTTTTTTGACAATGCGTTGGACAACATCATCGTCATGCAACACCCAATTGTTCTTGATATGATGAACGGTTGTGCGAGTCAAACTTAATTTTTCCCCGATCATTCTGGCTGTCAACCGACGGTCTGACCGCACAAGATTCCGGGTTCTGTCGATATTTTCATCAGTTCTTGATCATGAAGGCCTTCCGCTTCGTGGTTCATCTCCAATCGACTTCTGAAGATGCCTTAAATCACCTAAGAGCTTGGGCTCTTGACAAAACACTATCTCTGTAGACCTATTTGCAAAAGTTTCCGTTGCACTGTGCCCAAGTCTGAAGCAACTTCTGATAGCACACCGTCACCCAAACAGTTTTGGGTATGTCATTCATTTTTAGCACATAATAAGAAATACTGTTTCACAAAAAAACCGCTTCGGAGAACCAAATGACTTGAGCGAGGCCAAACTTGTAGTGAAGGCGGATAACATGTTCCCCTGCCTTTCCTCCAAGCCCCGTGCCTCCAGTGTTGTCAGACCGAACGCTACATTGCCAGTCTCATTGCTTAATTTACAGAGCTGGTAGGTCCAAAATTGTCTATAATGGACACCGAACTTCAAAGACTGAGGTTTACTAAGATCAACTTTAAACTAAGCTAAGCCGTAGCTTCCATACTTTTTTACTACGAGACACACTTAAAAGTTGACTGTATGGATGAGTTAGTCGGCAGATTTCCTAAACAAAGGTCTCGTGTATAGGATACAGATATCGCAGAAATTGCTGAAATTGGAAGAATAAATGTGTATGAAATTTGATAACCGGACATTTTCCTAATATTCTCTCTTAACTCCTGTACTAACGTTTTTGTGATTTGACCTACTGATCATCTATATATATATATATATATATCTTTAATGTCCCCATTCCCTTTGATTTTTGAACGGATCAATTCCAAAAAATGAAAATTTAAGGTAATGAAATGGATGAGTGGATACTATAGTTTAGAGTAAAATTCACAGATGAAAATGTCAAGATGGCCGCTGGGCGCCATCTTGGAAAAAATATAATATGAAAACGGGGGTCTTGTGGCACATCATTTTGAAGCTCCTGACGAGAACTTCATAACCCTAGAATATAAAGTCAATACCCTTACCTACTACAAAATGGTGGTATATTCAATAATTACCTGAATACATTGACAGTTGTGGAGATTTTTAAACAGGGAAATTTAAAAAAGGGAAAGCTTTGAATATTCTGAAAAACTAATATCTTTTACAACTGGCGGTGAGGTATTTTCATTTCCCTCCACGAGTGCTTCATCTATAAAGCTCAGAGAAGACCGCAAAGTTTTTGATACCTCACGCACTGAGGTTATATGATAATAGCTATCCAAATCTCACGTCCTGTGATGTTAAAATGCAAACTTGACAAGTTAAATGTTGATCGGAGTGTTGAATCATTTTCTTAAATATTGAAAATCTTCTGTACAAGGATATATCCCGTGCTAACTTGCCAATGGAAAGCGTAACCGCAGTAAAGCTTGCCGGGGTATTACCATCCAAATGAAACCATATACAGGGTGGCGCGTCGAAAACGAAACAGACGCATTTACTGGCAGCCCAGTTTTTTTTGGAAAAACGGTCAGACCCGTCGATTTTGTTTTCGAGGGGGACACAAGTTTGGCAAAAATCACGTTAACACGTGCAGCCCCCTGGGCGGGGGTGACACCAACCCTTAAATCTTAAATGGAAAGGGTAGTCGAGTGATACCTCATTTTAAAGGTCTTTCAATTCCCTTTATAATGATGTAAAACACATGAGCTTTAGTTCAGTAGTTTTGAAGATTTATTGATTTAAAGCTTAAAGTAGACTTTAATAGGTACACCAGATTAGTTTGTACTACTTTCAGAAGAAATTTGACTAAAATAATTTACTTAATAAGTAAATGCTTTTCTTCATGACGCCCATGGTTTGTTTATCACTTTGTTGTTGTTGATAGCAATTGGAGTGTTTTTGTGTGACAAAAAAGTTATTTCTTGAAGAAAGATAAGGAAATATCTCGTACTTATTTTAAATAGGAATTTAGTACATAATTTGCGATTGATTTGACCAAACTTTGTTGCCAAAATAACTTGAAACGCTTCATTACATAAATTAACCATGGTATATTCCACAGCAGAAAGAGTTGAAATTATCGAAATATTTTTCGGAAATAATCAGTGCGCTAACAGAACAGCAGACATATTTAATGAGCGACATGAGAACAGTAACGTGCATCGAAAATATGTTCTAGAACTTGCAGCTAAATTTCGGGAAACTGGGTCAGTCGCCAATAAAAAACGCAACATAGAGAATCCCATAAGGAACGAAGCAATAGAAGTGGGGTTTTGGGGCAAGTTTATGTAGATCCTACGTTAAGTACCCGCAAATTGGAGACAGTGTGTGGTGTTAGTCGACGGATTCTAAAGGCCCATAGTTTTCATCCGTATAAAACTCACCTGGTACAAGAACTTAATGAAGACGATTTTGATCGGCGATTACAATTTTGTGAAGATATGAGTGAACGAATTATAAACGATGAACATTTTATATTCAACACTTGCTTTTCCGAGTAATGTTCCTTTTTCTTAAATGGCGTAGTAAGTCGTCATAGCTGCCGATATTGGTCCGATTCTAATCCCAGAATTTATCATGAGGTTCATATACAGCAGCCACAAAAATTAAATGTTTGGGTTGGTATTTTTGGCGATCATTTAGTTGGTCCTTTTTTATTACCTGGAAATTTGATCGGTGAAATGTATCTGGAATTACTGGAAGACGCCGTAGATCCTGCATTAACAGCCATAATTGAAAATCAGAATGATCGGCGGTACATTGCGAATAGGTTGATGTTCCAACAGGATGGTGCCCCCCGCATTACGCATTACGTGTTCGACAATATTTATATCAGACGTTTCCAGATCGATGGATTGGTAGAAGAGGTGCCATTGAGTGGCCCCCAAGATCGCCAGATTTATCACCTTTGGATTTCTTTATGTGGGGTCATTTAAAAAGCAAAATCTATGCTATTCATCATTCTTCATTTTTAAATTTTGCTGCCAAATGTATGTACTAATGATGATGTATTAGTTTTATTTAAGCTTTAAATCAATAAATCTTCAAAACTATTGAACTGAAGTACATTAATTTTATATCATTATAAAGGGAATTGAAACACATTTAAAATAAGGTATCACTCGACCCCCCTTTCCATTTAAGACTTTGGGGGTGGTGTCACCCCGCTTAGGGGGCGCACGTGCTACCGTGATTTTTTGCCAAACTTGTGTCCCCCTAGAAAACAAAATCGACGGGTCTGAGCGTTTTTCATAAAAAAAAACTGAGCTGCCAGTAAATGAGTCTGTTTCGTTTTCGATGCGCCACCCTGCATAGTGCTCTTTAGAAAAGTCACCCTACTTTTTTTGGAACGGCTTAGGTTAGCAAGCGAAAATTGTGGGTAGTAAAATAAGTAGCAGTTGAAAATTTTAAGATGTCGGCTGAGCGACACTTTTGAACATTTTATTTAATAGTGTGAATACTTTATAACTTTAGATCGAACAGTTTCATACTGTCAAATTTGAGATTTTTGATAGTTACTCATAACTCAACAATTAATCAAAAAACAGCTGTAATACGTTATATCAATATTCCTCCCTTGGATCTATCAAAATATATAATAAAATATAGAATATATCATTATAAGCAATAGTAAAAAATCTGTCAATTTTTATTCAGTGTACCTTATTCTATTTTCCATTGAGATAGATACTGCCAAAGGAAGGATATTCAAATAAAATACTATAAAGTTTTGGTTATTTGATGTCAGGCATTTTGTAAAAAAAGTCATCTCATATTTCAAGGTTATAAATTACACAGCCTCAAAAACGAACTACCACACGGTTTCTTGCATTCATTTCATTGCCCAGAATTTCAGCCTGCCCACTTGACCCGTTCAAAAAACGAGTACGTTGGATCTCTTTGGAAAGAACTGTATACGGTTTCATTTGGCCAGAGAGGCTGACAGAACCGAGGGAAGTTTTTCTCTTGTTACGCTTTCCACTGGCAAGTTAATTCCACGAAGTATTGAAAAGTGTAAGTAATAAACTCTGAGGTCTTATTTCTGTACTCGATGAAGGTCTATTAAGTTTTATCATGATTTCAAAAACTAGTTACATCACGATCAATATTTAATCTGGCATGTTTACATATTAGCACCAAAAGATTGGAGTTTTTATCATAAAATCTCATTACGCGACGTAACAAAAAATCTCTTCTCCATAGATGTAAAATTGCCACAACCATACATCATATACAATATTCTTAACTCAGCCTGGATTCACTTACAAAAGGATTTGAAGACTCCTGTAAATAAGCTTACCTTGATGACCTCTGGCAGTTTGAGAAGAAGGCCTTGGAGTAGCCTGGATGATGTCATCTCCTTCCATCTTCCCTTTGTAGGTGTCGAAATCCTCTTTACGGACATTTGATATTTCGAAGGGATCACCAATATCTTCAGAGGCTTTTTGTAGTTGGCAGCCATAGTTAGACTTCTTTGCTGGACCGTTATCCATGACTGGAACAAAAAAGAGACTTGCTATACTATGCTATTTTTTAGTTTCTTTAGAGTTGAGTTTTATCGATTTGTATTGATCTAATTTCACTCCCATACTTAGTCGAAACATGCTAGTGTTAAAACAAATCCGGTATTAAGTACGTATTTGACATGAAACATGATCTGTTTGATTTGTCACCTTGGCCAACATATGTTGAAGACTTTTGTAGCTCGTTTGGTAGAAAAGTAGTCAAATCAATTTTATCACTTGACAAGAAAATGTTAAATGCAGATCTAATCATGTTAGAGACTCAATTTAATTTAATCCAGATACAAAATTTGAAATCTGTGGCATCTGGATTCTCCAAGTAAGGCGGGAAAAGGAATCTAATAAGCTCTATTAGAAAATCGTAAATTCTAGAAAAATGTAAAATCTTAAATTGCAGAAATGATAGTAACTGTGACATTCGCTGCGCGCGAGATAATGGCGCCGCCTAGGGAATGAAATAGGTGTGTTTGAAAAGTTTTATACAAAAATAAACGGATATTAATGAAAATGACAGACTGTTGGTCGATTTGAGATTAGGAACAATTTTGCAATGGTGAGTTTCGATCTTCGAAAACGATATTACATTACCATGGTTGCGCTGTATATGTGAATCTGTTGTCAACATAGATGTTGTTTGGTTGTTGCTAGAATTTTTCAATCACTTATATGTATTATTTTTTATTACCTTTTTTATAAACATATTTTTACACACAATTATTAATGTTTTATTGCATTATCACAAAATTATAGACCAATCTTTCAAGTGAAATCATCACCAACACATTGCGGGGAATTGCCGCCAAAGGCAGCTAAAGACTTCCCAGCACACTACAGATATATAAGGTTAAGCAAAAAATCACTGATACTGACGGAAACATCAGTAAATAGTGATGGGATGGCCAACAGTAATCACTAGCCGAGTGATATTTCGTCTCCGAACGTACGTTGGAAGCTGGAGGTTTAATGTTAATGTAAAATCCTTGATTAAAATATTCTCCATACGTTAATCAATAGCGAAACAGTGCACTTTTTCTCGTTACAAGTAGACCTGTACCAGTCCTGTATTGAGAACCAAAACACATCAACAGATACGTTTTAAGCCTGATACTGTAACGACTATTGGGAAGACTGTTGTGAAAAGTTTATTACAGCTATTTCCAACAAGGAATTTCTGACATCGAGACTGTCAAACACAATAATACAAACAAATTAATGATTTGATCCTGCCTAGCTAGGAATTGAGCTAATCTGATGCGCTGTGAATAATAGTTTGGAACTGCCAAGTCCTTGTTGAATATGGACAAATATTTCCTAGAGTGCCTACTTTGTCTGATTTTAGTTTAAAAAATTCAGCTTTGTACCAGGTGTAAAAGGCTATCAATCTGACCTTCAAATGACAAGCACAAATGAACCACTAATTTGATGACATGTACGTTGAAAAAGACTGCATGAGCAGTCGAAGAATTGGTAAAGTCTTCGTTTAATACTTCTGGTTTTAATTATCGGGCAGAGAAACAGGTAAGCAGCATGGGGTACTGTAACGGGTATGATTGAGTACTACAGTATACTATCCCTGAAAGGTAGTACGGGTTAGTATTTTCAGATCATGTGTATGATTGTTAAGCAAGTTGAATAAAAAAACAACACTATGGTTATCGGTAACTATGGTAGTGTTCAATTTGCAATTGCTCTTTTAATATGAACTCCGAAGGGTACGTCTATGCCATCCGATACAGTAACTGTAAAAATATCGCATCGGAATTGTGCAACCGAAATTATTGGCTCCTTCGAGACCGCCTTGTGTCCTCGTTTCATTACCAAGATGACCATAACTCCGTATTGCTACCACCTGAGTGACTTGTTCTTCTTTATTCTTTAATAAGCTTCAAATGTTTCTTATTGGACGTCCAGGTTGTTACTTCACCTTTTTCTTGGCGTTTCTATAGTCTTTCGGCCGCTTGGTGATTTACCTCATGCTATTCTTACTATCCCGTTTTCTCCTATCCTGCCTATGTGGCTATGCCATTTTCTGTCTTCTACCCAGTCGTTTATGCTTTCGATGTTATATATACCTTTGCTTTAGATCTATATTTCGTTCTCTCCTATAATTTTTTGCCAGTGATGTCTTTGACAATCTTCATTTCACACGTCTCCATTAACAATTTCGTTTTTTTTTTGTATCAGATCTTGATTCTGTAGTACAAGTCGTCATAGGCATCACTGCTGTTTTATAAATCTTGGTCTCTGCTTATGTACCTCAAGACTTATTGTGCCATTTCTTCTTAGATACTTGAGCCGTCACGGAGGCGTAAAGCCTACATACCCTAAAGGAAACGGGAGACAACCCCTGCGAGAAACAAGAGTGCATGCGATAGAAATTCTGACCCCATCTGAGATCCGCCGGGTAATACCACCACGTTCGTCGGTCTGAGACCAGCTACTACCTACGCACACACATCATCCATAGTTCAGAGAAAAAATCTCTTGGGATGGGACTGGAATCTGCCCAGGCGACTAGTTAGCAACCTCACAGCCTAAACCATTACGCCATCGTGAAGTCTTGCGACATCCCGCTGTTCTGTTGGCGTAACTTATCTGCGGAACAACTTCCGCCTCTGTATATCATTCTACTATGACAAGTATGACTATTACTCTTATCTCTTGAACTTATGTTCAGATGGACCCATCTTCTACTGTCTATTCAACCGATAGATGAAACCTTGAATAATGAGGGAATAACCCGTAACCCTACTGGCTTCTTTCACATTTTATATATTGTTTTTGGCTGTAATGCTACTGATTATCAACTTTTGGTTGGTTCAGTTGACGTTAAGAAGAAAGTTTACCTGGGATAAAACGCATTTTTCATTACTACCCGAGAGCTTTATTGACTACCAACACCTCTCTTCCTAGAAAAATAATAAAATTTTGAAATATTTCAGAACAATTGAGAAATAAGCAACTTTGAGTACATGAGAACAGCTCCTGATTTAGACCCCAAGAATCGACATAATGTTTGAAAACAGTTTTTAATGTTAACAAAAAGACCTTTGACCTGTATTTGAATGGACCAGTCCAAACCAAATCGCCTGTATATTGCATTCATTAATTTGAGCTTTTCATTTTGTCACCAGGTAACTATATGTTTTAAAGCATTTATAAAATGAGTTGGAAATATCATGATCGTGATGTACAATATTTTGTGATACAGGGTGTTAGTAGCGTAAACAATTCTACACATACTTCATTTGAGAAGGCCATTGTTGGTCTGCGTGCCTCAGGTTATGAAACTGGTCCATCAAATAATTTCCTGCTTCGCAAACTAGATATGTGATGTAGATACTATTTACATGAGTCTTTTTATTAACAGCACCCATATTGCAAAAGCGATTATTTTGCAAATAGTAGAGAATAGAAGGGATGTGAAAAAATTTGCCTCCAAAACCGTATGATTTCTCTTTAGGGATTCTCCGTGACGGTGAGGTGTTTCAAATCATTAGCCTGCTCCGACAACTAGAACTGAAGAAGCTTTAAAAGCCAAGATTTACGCGTTATTACAATATTACGTCCCCAAATACGCCTCAAGGTGATCGCAGCGGCGTAGAGTTGGCTCCCATATCATTGATTAACTATTCTCACATAATAAAGAAATGCGACTACGTCTAGAGAAACTACAAAGATTTATTATCTTAATTTCAAGTTCAATACCTCTGAAAAACACCCAATATAATACTGGTTTGGTGGACATAATTCATTGAGATTCCTGGAATTTTTATATGTTCTCATGTTTTGCAAAATTTGAATACAAGCGACTGTTTCATTTCAATTTTGAGCAGAAACAAGTTTATCAAAAAATGAAAATAAAAAGATTACATAAATCTTATACGTTAGAACAATATCTCAAAAAGATTTACCAACTCGGTTTTGAAATAGTTGGTTCCAAAGTTGGTAAACTTGTGAGTACTGTCGTAATGAGGTGAAGAACAACCGTAAAAGCTTCCAAAAATATTTGAGACATTGAAGCATTGCTGCTAAATCGTTATAGTTTTTGAAATATTTAGCCGAAAAGACAATTCGTCCACAGTTTCTGTTGTATTCGGGAGCGCGGTATATAATCCGATTACGGTTCACATACAGTCCCAGTACGATGGACTCATCGCCAAAATGGAAGCCGCCGGAATCGATGCAAACATGTGCCAACTGATCCAGAGCTATCTGACACAAAGATGGTTCACGGTGAAGATTGGTACATGCTACTCAACAAGACGACAGCTGGAAGCAGGCGTGCCCCAGGGGTCAGCCTTAGCCACCCTGCTCTACAACATCTACACTCACGACGTACCAAAGACAGCTGACACAATGCTGGCCCGTAGGAGACTACAGGATGAACTGTGACCACATCCAGGACTGGTGCGTGAAATGGAAAATCCGCATCAACGTCCAGAAGACGCAGGCAATCTTCATCCAACGAAGAAGGATTGCAAGACCTCTCGAAGCATCCATCTTCGACGAAGATATCCAGTGCAGCGACAAAGTAAAATATCTGGGGATCGTACTTAACAAGTCCCTCACCTGGAAAGACCACATAGAAGCTGTCATCGCAAAGACCAGAGCAGCCATGGCTCAACTCTACCCATTACTGGGTAGACACAGCCGGATGCCGCTAGCGACCAAGCTACGGCTGATCAAGGCCATCGTCAGACCTCAGTTCGCTTACGCCTCCGCGGTCTGGGGGTACGCTGCTCCCAGCTACCGCAAGCGACTTGCTGCTCTAGAGATGAAGCTACTCCGGATCGCTACCAGTGCACCATCCTACGTAAGAAACTCAACCTTGCGTAGAGACCTGCATTGGGACACAATTCACGAGTACATGAGGAAAAAAGCGGAGAAGACCTTCCAGAAAGCTCAGGACCACCCGAACGAGCAGCTACGATTCCTCATGGACTAGGATCCGGACGAGAGGCCTCGTACC